ATAATAATATTGATAATAATAATGATAATGATGATACCTTTTTGTTCGTTGTCATGTCAAAAACCAACATCTAATAGGATGGTGTGTACAGTAGACCCTTTAGCACACAAATAAGAATCAGTCTTAGCATTATGAAACCTAACGATACTACCGCCCTATAGAGAATATACTGAGTAATATACTGAGTACAACGAGACACCTACGGTGCATGGCCTCGCCCCTATAACTGCTATGGTGCATCCCCACACTGCAATAGCTGTTTGATTATTAGCATGAAGAGAGTCTGCTCAACATTAGCTTCCTGCAGTTGCACTTGCTCTTGAATACCTGCAGAAGTAGCAGCACTGCAGCACATACATGCAAGCAGCTCCAGCCCCTCCCATGCATGTAGATTGAAAGGTGTGGCATTCCATCATACTGGAATGATTGGCAGCAAGAAGACCATGTGAGAAAGAAGCTTCACTTTTTCTTTACTAATCAGCAATATATGATAAACTTGCTGACAAAAAAAGTTGCTGCCTTTGTATATTTGAGATAGTACAGGTACTTTAGTGCCTATAACCCAGCAAGTTGTTGCTCTAGCGCTGTACAAACGAGCGACCTCAACAATTTCAAGTAAGTATAACTCTTCATCAAGTAAGATTTAAAGAAATCTGTTCATATATTTGAAGGCCATGTTCTAATCTACTGAAAAATGCTACCAGCTATCTCTAAAGTGCCAACACAACGGAACTTGGCCCAACTACTCCATTTTCTTACTTTGAAACTTCTGTACCTAGCACTTGTATTTGAGCAACACAAAACAGTTAAGAAAGACTTTTCCACGTCAAAAAGAAAGATCTGGGAGTTTAAAACACGCTGTGCTAAAGTTATTGTTTATTAAAAACAAATTTCAGTTGTACAGAATGAATGAATGAATGAATGAATGACAGACACACACAACAACTACCTATACCTCGCGTAGGCGAGGCCAATGAACAATGCATAAACATAATACTAATTAATAATGAAGCACCATGGTGCGTGGACTCGCCTGCTGAGATTCACCCGAGAGATAATGTGTTACTTGTACTGCTCCCATCATTATATTATGTATATAAGCAACTTGATATTTGAAAAAAGGATAATAGATTTTGACAAAGTGCAACAATGCAATCAGCCAATTACTGCACTGATCCATAAAATAAATTATAGGTGTGGTCAGCACCTAGCAGTGCAGTGCAGATAAACATGGCACGTGGGTAGGAGAAAGAAGAAAAGCTGAAATTTATTTTAGCATCTGAAGCTCTATTCAAAGAAAGAGTAAGCACAAAAAATTGCCTAGATATTTAAAAGAGACTGAGATAGTTTGGTTGCTCTTGATTTTCCCAGTGCTGCCTGAAAATTTTTCGAAGAGGCTAAATCACAAACTTTGAGCAACTGTAACTCGCAAACAAAAAAGAGATTAGAAAATCCCCACATATTTTTTAATCTAGGTACTTTTCTCTACCTATCAATGCTAATCTTGACCAAATAGAGTGAAACACGAAGATTTGGCTAGGAAAAGTGGTCTATTCTTGAAAAATTCAGCTTTTGCTACCACGGATTGCTATGAAAATACAACGGAGTAAAATAAATTATCTTTTTCTCAAAGCTTAAAAAGAATTATAACTCAGGAGAGCTCAGTAAAAAAGATATTGACTAGGAATTAACAGGAATTTTCGTGACAGAATGACAGACAGACAGACAGACAGAATGACAACCCAACTGCTTAGTACCCGCCTACGCAAGCGTGGCGAGTCCAATAATAATTAATAATAATAATTAATAATAATAATTAATAATATTCATTAATTATTCATTACCCTGATGAGATTAGGGAGTGACTCATCACTTTTTGTTTGTAATTTAATAGAAAAAATAGAATTAGTGATGGCCATTTTCAATTCAAAACTACAAAAGTACAAAACACATTAATTATAATAAATAATAATACAACACAACCAATGACCATAAAAACTAATTAATTGATTGTAGTAATTAGGTTACTCCCCCTTTCCCTCTCCCTCCCTCCCTCTCCCTCCCTCCCTCTTCCTCACCAGTCAGTTAATGAGTTCTTAGCACAAAGGACATGATGACCTTTTCTACCGTCAAAACTACAAAAGTACAAAACATATTAATTATAATAAATAATAATACAAC